GTTTACCTTACTGGCGTTCGCTCCATAGAAACGTCTGGAAAAATGCCAACAGTGCATTGATTTGTTTGGACGCGAGCGACTGACGTTAGAACGGTCCCTGTATCATTTCCTGACTGAAGCCTTACTTGGATTAGTCGTGCCTCACCTTAGGGTGCCCATCTTTGACGCCACACGTGGCGCATCATACTGAACGGCTTTGCTTACGCTCCATTTCACTGACAGATGACATTACACTGTTTCCGGTCGTCTTGCAGTTTGTATTTGATGGAGTTCGCCTCGGATTCAGGCACATTTTAGAATATGACAGTTAGAGAATTGTGATATTGTTTTCTTGTTCTCCTTTTTGGATGAGTATGTGGCTACTTTCTTTGGTCTGATAACAGGAGGCACATTAGACTCTTTGGTTGTATTGGTGGCGATAACGGTTCCAACTTCGATAGCGATCGAGGCCATGGTGAATGATTGCGCTTGCACGTGGGTGGCAAAGATCGTCGCGTGTCTTGTTGCTCTCTGAGCATTGTTTTATATGCCGCGAGGTTTTGATGAAGCATTCTGTCTGCGAGCATCATTAGAAGTGAGCCCCATACCTTAGCAGCAGTCAGCATGGTTGAAGTGCCAAGCTCTTGATCATGGTTATCACACCCGATTGGCTGCTCCGTGCCGAATTGTAGTTTGACGTTGTAAATCCAGCGCGAGGAACTGATTTCTCTGGGTTCCGTTTAGGCAGATTTTTCGGTAGCTGCTCGCTGTACAATGTTTGCTAGGTTGTCGCACTTATGCGCCAGCATAACTATAAACTAATGAGTGAAACAGTCGTACACTCAGTGCGGAACCAAACGGAGTCGGTCGTGTTATTTCATTTCTTTATATCGCTTAGGCTAAGGAAACAGCACTGAGGATGGAATATTTTAAAACAGTTAGTGTCTTCTATTCCAATTCATATATTCTTAGGACAGGCTCCGCAATTAACGTTCAATTGTAATTCTTTAAGCGTAGCTCTTTGTGGGCAGGCACTGTGTGCCATAATGATCGCCAATTCAGTCACGTAACTGGAAGTGTCGTTTGTCGCGAAGTCTATCGGAGCAGTCGTTGGGCTAATACCGAGAAAACAAGTTCGAAGAATGTTCTATGCATAAGGCGTGCACGGGATACACAAACATGTCAAAACACACCGAGCGAGATGCATGACAGTCGGCGGTTCGAATGCGTCTGACCTTGTCGTGGCAGTACAAGGTTTATTTCGTTAACGGCCAAAGTGAACTAGTGGAAGTTGGTCGTCCAGCGTGTTGGGACAGGGACACGATGCCGATTGATAATGACCTACGACTGGAAGCACAAATACAAACGAAGCCGACGGAGCTCAACGCACGACCCTTCTGGTTTGGGCACTGGCCGCTTGGCTGTCGATCAAGCCGGGCTTCGGCTTGGTGGAATACTGAGTTTTGATGAGCGTGGTAGAATTTTACGCTAGGTTGGCTAGTGTTATGATGATGGGGGCTAATTAAGCTGCAGCTATCAAACAGGGTGTCTGATTTTTGCAGTATAGGCATCGCTGGGTAGTGCTAAGAGCATTCTGTCGAATGAAGGTACAAATGATGATATGCAGTCCGAACTAGGGTTGATGCGCACCTGGAATTCTGTGAAAAGCCCGCTAAAATTGCCGTACGATGGTATGTGTTAGACAATCCTACGGTGGTAGATCCACTGGATAGCGCAGGTAAATCCGAGTTAGATAAGTGTAAGCGCAGTAATGTGCGTCGCGAATTGAGAGCGGTAGATCCCATAACAGAGGCGCTTCATTTCAGTACGACCACATAGCGTGAGACATTTGACACATTCACTCTCACCAGAAGGCCTTATTTTATGTTCGTAAGACCATAGTCACAGTTTCGTAACTTTTGCCGATTCAAAGACTAGGGGCCGAGTATCTAATCGATAATTGGTAATTCAACGATTTTTGTGCCCGTTGGTGGATTGAGCTCGGCAGAGATGTATTCAAAAGAATACCGATGCACTTCACATTCCCTGTGGTTAGTTTGCTTTACCTGATCAGTCCTGGGTCCGCGTAGAATGAAGGTACTCAAAAGTACAACGCACACCATCAGTTCACCGAACAATCCTTCTTTGCCGCTGAGCTATAACAAGTTAAATCCCAAGTGGGCTTGGAACTGCTGTTTTTAATAACCTTGCAACTTGAAACTGCCGTCCTTTTAATCTCAAACAACCACAACCAACCGAGTAGGACTTCCATCGAGGATAAATCTTCCTTCAATAACGGGCACACAATTGCGGCTAGCACTATAATTTTCAGCATTTCAGTCCACAAACACGGGATTTCGGAAGATTTCTGCCGGCCTAATTCCCAGGTAATGCTTTGGAGCATGACATTTCTAAAGGAATACTTTCATTAGACAGAAAAATAAACTTTATATTTGTGTAACTTGTCGTCTCCTGTTATGGACGAATAAGACGAATAATAATCGATACATTTCTCTTTAAGGGTGATGCTGCGTCCATATTTGGCACAAACCATATATGTACAGATAGTACCATGCTCTTGAAAGAGCAATATGAAATTGCGACGCATAAGAAAAGACGATATATATTACGTCGGTGCGAGGTACCGTCCAACTGGATGTCACTATTCTTGAGGTACGACGAAATCACAAGGAGCAGATGTTTTAGTGTCGAAATCCTAAAGCAGTTCTCCAACTATTTTTCGCGGACATAGCTACTTGATAGGTTACATCTTCTGGGAAGATTGAAGTTGTCGAAAATAATATAACAAGATTTCAGGAGATATTTTGAGCTTTCTTGGTTAAACCACGCTCTGATGATCTGGTATGAACTCTCCTAGTCGGCTGAACGAATGTGGCTTTTGGAGCTATTTCATATACGGCAAAGTAACCAACAAAAATCGAAGTTGTGCTACCCGTGAGACGTATGCGCAACCCGGTTACTATGCGCGAGTTAAACGGGCTCGTAGACGGAAAGCAGTTTCACACCCAGCTACTTAAACCCGAGAGAACATGACAAAAAGACAGGATTTTCGCGTGGACACTTTTACTGACCTAGCTTAATGCGATTACAGCGCAATCCAGCGTTTCTTTTATACCTCAATGGTGTCAATGGTGTGCGCAAACAAACTATGGAAGCAACTGAATTGCCATTATGCAAATATGCTAACGGAACATGTTGAAAAGTGATTGTTTATAGATGCGGGGATGGACTGGCAAACTGCATGTTTCCTAGATAAAAAAAGGCTGAATGTTTTATGATTGAAGATAGCTTGGCCGGAAACAAGCATGTTTTCTGAGGTACAAAGGCCAACCGAAAAGTGAATGTCTCACGAGTTGGAAAGCTAATCAAAACGTGTACACTTGTCTGAATTAGTCTCATGGCCTTCCGCCGTTTAAGCTTGTGACCGTTGTGAGGACGAGGGTATCTCATAACTTATACTAAAAATAAATTTTCGCTGGGCCCGAACACGTAATGTAAACCGGTTCCCTTGAAATATAGAGCAGAAAAGTTGTAACAACATTATCGTTTTCTTTTCGACTTACCTAGCAAGTATTTGCGTGGTACAGTAAGTATACGAAAGGTAGCAGCTACATAAATTCAGTATTGATCCTCTATTACTATTACTAGTCGGCGGTATGGGTTACAACTTTTACAAACCCAGCAAACCTGCAACTTTTGCTACTCTCCTCACAATTACCGTAGGTTGCAAAATGATGGCATTGGATCGGACTAAAAAACGGTAGCGGAGAATGGAGTGTCACAAATTTTTCGGACAGTTATAAGTTCTACCTGTCTAGAAAACCGATGGCCTACACTAGCATGCAAATTGAAGGGGTTTTGTACCCAAGCCCCCTGAACTCCCGTCCGGAATTTAGTGTTCTGTAACTGACTTCGCGGTCACACAAGAGTTTGCCTTTTTTACTAGCTGCCTCATTAATCTTTCTGCCTTCGATGAATTTAAAGGGATGTTTTAGTTCAACTTTGTTGGAACTTGTGCTCTCGTATGCAGTACCATTGCAAGGCATTTTGTTGCCCTTCACCACCTATAGCACCTGCGTGACATCACTGTGGCCGTGAAGGGTAGCGTTTACAGTGCAACCGTGCGTTTGACCCTACTGTATGGTTGTGAAACCCGGCCCATGCGATTGGCAGACACCAAAAACCTAGTTGCTTTCCCCAGCCGGTGCTTTCGCAGTCTGGATCATGTCTGATGGGAACACCGGATGAGGAATGAGCGTGTTCGACGCCTTGTTTATGGCATATGCAGAGTAAGTGAACCGCTTAACATGGTTATTTCACTAACCAGGTCCCGATGGCTAGGTCACATGTTGTGCATGCCAGCACACCGATTCCCTCGAGGTACGTTGTTTGCGCGGCGGGGTGCGGATGGAAGAAGAGGAGGGGAGGCCAACCGACGACACGTGCAAGCTGAAATAAAGGTCCTCAGTTTGGAATTGGCCTTGGTTGGAGCCTTTAGGCTGCCTGATTGGGGACCGACAGACGATAACTACGTTTGACTGGGTACACTTGTTGACATGGGTAAGAGCTGACCTCAGTGGAGTTTGTGATATGAGTTCCTTTGTCCCTCCCCTCCATCTCCCTCCGGCCTAGCCTTCCTCTCATACCACGACCTCATTTGTGACACATAATATGATTTTTTGCGGAACTATAACTGGCTGATAATTCTCCGGAGCGATGCTTATCCGTTATTAGTAGCTCAGCTGCCGTGCCTGTATTGCGCTTTTTTCCTTTCTCATGGACTGCGACACAAAAGCTGAGGCGTTTCCCACCTCTACCTAATATGTAGAATGTTTAGTGATGATCATTGACTGGAAAAATATATAGGATTACATGACCCATGACGGGCCTTCTAGCCGCAAACTATCGATAAAAAGTTAATCCACTTTCTTCATGTTCATCGCATCCAGTATATCGCGAGATCTGCAAGACAATTTAATTGCCTGCGTTTGGATTTTCAGCTTGAGGAAGAGCTACGTGACCGTATACAGACTTTGACGCAGCGGGAGCATGAACTCGAAGAAAGAGTCTCAGCTGCTAACAAGTCCATCGATCGGGAGGCTTACCATCACCGACAGAAGATAGAGACCGAGACACAGTTAATACAACTACAAGCTGCTAATTTGAAACAAGGTGAAGAAAAGCTACAAAGGTTAGTGGGATTTGAATGTTGTGCCACTACTGAGGGTCATCGCTAGATTGTAGGCTTTTACCGTCACCGTCTTGATAACAACCGAAGAATTTGTGTCACCAGTTTAAGCTAGTTTTGTGATTATGGTGTACAGAAAGTCTCATTTAATGTGAACTACCCAATAAACAAGTTATTCCCACAAAGGATCACGGGGAAAGTAATATCAGTAGGCTGACCATTGGCGGGTAGGTTGAAGTTTCGGCATTTGGCACTTAACGGGTCCGAAGTTCTTCACCAGGGCAGTAGAACATTCAACAAAATCTGTTCACCCGAAAACGTCGGTCTGACTTCTTTCTTTCACAATTTATCTCTGTGGGGGGAAAAAGCTAAACATGCCAAATCATGAAGCTGCTCCTGATCCAGATTTCTATAATTCTACTAGTACTCTTGCCTTTTCTTGCATCTTCACCCTGTTTAGTGAAAAGCACAGGATGACAGAAGAGTGCAAAAAGCTGGAAGAGGCGTTGGAACTACGAGAGAGAAAATTGCTCGAATCTGAAAAGAATTTGGACCAACGGATTTTGGAAGAGGTTTCGCGGTGAGATCGTTTGGACACATGATCAGTCATGCGCACTAGTTGAAATTTGTCGTTACTGGCTGCTAAGACCAGTTTTGCGTTTCAGGGCCAACACGGCCTTATGAATCACGGTAAAGAGATTGCAGCGCCATATAGTAGTGCATGATGTATGGCGCCAAGTCATCTTCAGCTATAGCCATCCTTACAGGTTTAGCGATGTACTTTGCTTCTACGTAAGGAGACGACTGAGGACCCAAAGCAGCATACAGCAACAATGCGTCCGAATAGTCTCAATTTGTAATTGGTGATTTGTCGAATATGTACTGGTTGCTTGATCATGGCAAAGACGGAACCACTAAACACTCCTTAATTTTATCTATTGCTGACGAGATTTTTCATTTGATAGAATACTCCGAAATAGTGTCGAGTTCAATGCATCGTTCGTTATCGGAAATCTTTTGCCTAATTAATTATCCGCATGGTGACAATCAGATAATCATTATGGAATGCAGAGGTATTTTCTATTATGTTTAACCCCCTTTACTGATCCATTGTATGGTTAAACACAAAACGCCACTTGCGCAGACTGTAGCCTGCGTACATATGGCGACTGTTTACTTGATCCCGGAAGTGGAGAATTTGTGTGGCATTTTACAGTGTGGGTATCACTTTCTCCTTTGTGATAAACAGTCTTTCAACTACTTTCCCACATAACTTCTATTTTAGTTTCACTGCTTTCCCCCGTTCCTTTATCCGTACATTTTGCTCACACGGCAATGGGGGAAACCACAATCTGGTTTCCAGTTCTTCGCTTCTAGCCACGCGGTAATTCTAAAATAGTCGCACCAGCATTGGGAACATCAATAGATCAGGATTTTGCGAGTGCTTTACGTCTGAGTTGTGAAGTCGCAAGATGAAGGTTAAGGCTAGCGGGGCCTACTCTGTACAAGAGCTTACAGCTACAAGGTATCGGTTGTTGTGCGATGGTCAGATAGTATTTGCGTGACTATTTCGTTGCAAGTTGTACTGTTTCGCATTAAGATCGGCCTTCCCTCACACGTGGCTGAGTTCTGGAATTAGAAAACCAGTAGCTTCGAGTGGGTGATGAAAACATTCACGCCACCGGTGCCTGTCAAGTGTCACCTGTAATGCTCCAATAAACACATAATGTGAACCACATAGACTGCAGACCAAGGAGCGGGACGCATGAATAACACCCGGTAATCAGGTCAATAATTGTCCCCATCAGACATTATGCAATCTGACACCCAAACAGAGCTCCTCATGACAAACTGTGGGCGTTTGTAGGTGGCAAGTTCTTGAAACACAAAGTCACTCAATGTTCTGTTTGTTTTCCTACGAAGATAAGTTGCGCACCACACCACTAGAGCTCACTGGCGCAGCTCCTTGCTGTAGCCTGCTGGTACCACTTGAAACGAGCACGGTCAGTGTTCATCAATAGCGAAGAACATTAAAGCGTCGGAGCTATTATGCTCAAAATATAGAGTCTTGTTGCTAAAGGATAGAATGGTCTCTGCTTTTTCCTGTATGCATGGTTAGCAAGACGATTCACTATTGTCCACAACCACAAAATAAGTCCACCGAAAGGGGACCGACTTCTTTTGTGGAATCCGATGAGTAGGATGAACTCTGGTCAGCCTGCTGCCTGACCATATGGTTGGCGGCATCCGGTTCCGGATTTACCAGTCATTGTGACCAGCCACAGCACGCCTGCGTCTATAGAGTGGCCATGGGTGGCTTACGCTGCAACACCCACAAATCAATCCACACACCCCATAATCCAGCGTAAACCCGAAGGAATATACCGGGATGCATGCGGATAGGAGCCACGTTACATCAACGGAGCCGGCCCACACTCCTTCACAGGCAAACACAAGCACGCAATATTTTGGGATCAGGCGCACACAATGCGATGACTGGAGCGTAGTCCGCTCCACACTGAGTGCATGGGGTGACTCTTCGAGCCTAACACGGCTACAAGGCCCGTGGACCCCGTCCCCTCCAGTAACGACCAACTGTCTCCTGGAGCCAGTATGGACGAGGTAGTGGGTAATAGACAGGTAGGCATCTTGTCAACATGCACATCCAGCGCAGCCACACCGGGGATATCAAGCAACCAGCAATCACTTTAAACCAAGAGATCAAATAAAATAAATCGAACAACGCATACAGATATGCTGACATAACTCTTCACCAAATGAGCGTATGCAATAACTTGGTTGCCAACAAATCCGCAATGGGTTCAGGACGTCATAAAATATATTTTAAGCAAATGCCAAAACCGCGAAAATGTTATCGAAGTTAACTACAATTAGCTTAAGTGACTTGTTGAAGTTAATAGAAGATGGTTCAGGTAAACATGAATATGGGATAAGAAATATTTGGACAAGTTAGTAAACACAGCACCTGAAATAAAGAGACTCAGCATGCAAGCACGCGGTTTGTAAATCGTATACAGCGTACCGACAAACACTGCGCCAGTTCTGTCTAAGTTCTCAACGGGACCCGTCGTCATTTCGGTGTTGGCTCCGAGTGGCCTCGCTCATGGTTCACTAGGCCTGCCTGACTCAGGCACTCGCGACCGCGTGTGCTGCAGCACCAAGCACTCGATGTCGATGGAGTACAACCCCCCTGTACCTACCGCTTCCACACTTGCCGCTTCTTCTCCGCATGCACGAGGGCTTTCTCCTGCACCTTGGCAACTTTCTTCGTGATCAGCTTGCGCCGTTCACACCGATCAACTGCTTTCGATTCCCATGACCTGAAAACAAGCTTAGAAAGTGATAGCCTCACTTTGATCATGTCGCGGCAACTTATTTGCTTTTTCCCCACATGCCGCTTCCCCAAACTCAGCTAACCATAAAATAGCTGCTTCGGTATTCGCGTCGAAACCATATGCCACACATGACCGAGCCACGTAAGGTGTCTCAGCAAAAGTATTCAGTTAACTGCATGTATTCAACTTCAGTGCAACACTTCGTGTCTGCAACTCTGTTGCACCAACCGATGCGCAGAATCCGTCGAAACTACTCTTTATGGAACCGCTCGAGATATCGCACATCCCACCGTTACATCGTCTACATTCCGCTCCCTTATGGAAGAACGGATAGTACCATGGATTTATACACCATCAGCTTCGTGCCAACAATAAGGTAGTGGTTGTTCCACACTCGGTTCTGAAGCTTCACGAACGCAGCCGCTGCCTTCGTTACGCGGATGTGAAGCTCACTGTGTAGCTGCTGGTCAGTTGACATCAAGATCCCATGGTAGCAGAAGCAGGAGGTTGTTTCCAATACATCATCACCAATGCTGATCTGCTCAATATTGAAGGTTGCATCTCCGGTGAAGGCTGAAAGGGACAGACAGTTTTGCTTATGTTAATGGTGAGCCCGAATTTGACCACTGTCGAAGCCAGAACACTAGTCATGTGTTACAACTCATCCGCGCTGTGCGCAAACAACGAACAGTCGTCAGCAAACAGTAACATACGGATAGTTGTCACACAGACTAGGATTCTCACACCGAAATGACGGATATTCAGCAACCCACCACCAATCGGTTTTTCAAACGAACATCGTAAGCACAAGCCGCATCAAAAGCACAAGACATCATTGCATGATATATATGTTTGCAACAGTCTATGAATAGACACTGCGCCATCGGAAACCTTGGAACTCAAAACAAGGTACAGAAATAGTAAAAGAAAACACAACAAAACACATCAAAGTTCATTGCATGAAAATAAATATTAAACAGGGCAGGAGCTAAGACACAGCCTTGCTTCACACCAGAGACAACTGTAAAATCATCCGAGGCCTCTCCACTCAGCTGCACCCTCGCCCGCATACCACTTTGAAGACATTCAATTAACTTACAAATGTACTCGGACAACCGAATTTACCCAATACCAGCCACAATGCCTTGCGGTTCACCGTATCAAATGCCTTGGTGAAGTCAACAAAAGGGGATTACAACGGCCGGTGTCGTTCTCTACACTTCTCCTGCAACTGACGAGCCGAAAACACCATACCTATAGTGCTGTGACCAGAACAGAATCCACATTGCTCTTCCGCCACGTTCGGTTCAAGAACCTGACTGACGAAGCGGTTGAGCAGGATTCGTGCAATCACCTTGCCCACACAACTCAGCAAGTTGCTCCCATGATAATTCGTGCAACGTTGCTTGGTTGCAATGCCGTTATACAGTGGTAGTACAAGGGTATTCTTCAGCTTAGGAGGCACCTTTTCCTCAATCCATACACGCTGCACCATGTGGTGCAGCTCAGTCATCAACGCGGATCCGCCGTGTTTCAATACTTTAGTCGGGTTCACGTCCGCACCAGCAAACTTGCTGTTTCGCAGTTGAGTAAGTGCTCTCTTCGGTTCATCCAATGCCGGCGTGTCCGCCAGATTCGCCTTCACATCGTGCTGTTTGAGGCCGTTCAGTGTAGGCCAGTCGATCTCTGAACGCTTGTTCAAGAGACAAAGTGTTTTTGAAAGATGTGCATTTTGCCTTCAGCCCCTGAATTACCATTGATTAGCGTCCTCAGCGAGTCTAACTTTGGTCCATACGCTGCCTTCAAGAGTCAAGGAATTCCTTGTGTTGGCGGCTTTCGGCCTATCATTTCATCTGCTTCGCCTTCTCCGTCCACCATGCATTTTTAATGCGATGAAGGTTTCGGGTCAGTCGCCATCGAAGTTTTTGAAACTGATTCTTCTTCACCAAGCCACTGGGATCTGCCACATATGTATCAAATTCTGCATCCTTCTCCGACACCAATGCGCCAAACGTCGCATTTTTGTCATCAAACTAATCAGGCCGCTTACAGTTTGCGCGTCCGATGGTCTCCTCGGCAACAACTATCACCTGGTCGCGAATGTGTTACCACAGGTCGCCCACTATGGCTTTGCATTCCACATCATATAGTCGTTCAGCCATGGCCTTCCCCAAGCTCAATACGTTTCGCCACAGTATCGAGGGAGAGAATGTTCTATTTACCCCAGTTCACGACGGAAGTGCAATACATAAATTTACGAAAAGATATGTACAGTTTGGTCCGCACCAATTTATGCTCAGTGCCACACTCAGCTCCACGCAGTACACGTGTCATGCGCACTTCACCCATATCACGCTGACGTACGAGGACATAGTCGAGCAGGTGAGCGTGACCACTCCGTGGGTGCCTCCAGGTTGCCATATCACTCGCACTCAGTGCAAACCAAATGTTCGCGATCGTCAGGCCTTAAGAGGCACATAGCGAGAGCAGCCTGTCATCGTTCACATTTGCTCAACCAATGCCATGCGGACGGATAACATCTGTCCACACCGATGCATCAGGCCCAAGGCTTGCGTTGAAATCACCCAGCAGAAATAGTCGGTCGCTTCTCGGCACAGACCGCATCATGGAGGATAACTGAGTGTAGAATTGAGCACGCGTGTCATCAGGATAACACATGGTCGGACCGTACTTTCTTATAAAGGTGGCAAACTTACTGCTTCCGTGTCGTAGGCGAGCGGTCATCAGTCACGCGCTGATGCCTGTTTGTTCACCCACCAGGTGGTCATTTAAGCGCTCGAATAGTGCAACTTCGAGCTCATGTTCACGTGGTGCTGAGGTGGAGTCGCCCACCCAGTAGAACGTGTAGCCAGCACCTACTTCATGCAACTTACCTTGCTCAGCAAGCCGGGTGACACTGAGAGCCGCAATATCGATGTTGTAGCGCGCCAATCACATCACGACCAGTTCAGTGCGGCTCTCAGGGCACTCACTCGAGTTCCGGTCCAGTAGCGTGCGCACGTTCCAGCACCCGATGCGGAGTGGTTTGCGCGCAAGCAGAACAATGCATTGTTGGGCAATCGCACGCAAATTGACAGTTGTGCTTCAGAGGTTTGCTTGAGGGACTCCGCCCGGAGCCATTGGCTGAATAGCCTGATCCACAAGGCAGTGGGTTGTTTGAAGGTTTGCTTGAGGGACTGCGCCCGGTGCCTTTGGCTCAATAGCCTGACCCACAAGGCAGTGGGGAGCAGATCTAGCCATGAACGTGATTACAAGACAGACAGATTGGGATCTGCTTGAGGTCCGTCACACGCAGACTTTGAGTTATTGGAACGATTCATATATGTTTTGCGATCGTAGTAGGATACACCTTCGACCACGGCCAGACGCGGGAGGGTAATGGCGGCTTTGCAGCACCTTGACGAGAAAATGCCTGGCTTGAAGCGGGTAGTAGCAAACCACTGAACACCCGGTGGCACTCTCCCACCGTCAGAGACAATGCGTGGCGCTTCTGCTCCACGCTAATCGAGTGCTGAGCTGATAACCCCTAGGCCTGTTGTCACCCATGGCTAGGTTTTACGGGAAGAGTGCTATCGACCACTTCCTAACCTCCGAAGAGGATGGACTAGGATACTGGCAGGGCGCCCACACCAGACAGGAGAACGACTCGGGTCCTCAGCCAAAGCCTTCGAATTAATGTACACCCTAAAGGCAGCTGGTCTAGCACATGGTCAGTTCACTGACTCATGCAGATTGGTGTCCTGGATCTTAGCAGGGAGATGGGCGTGAACCAACTCCCACCCAGTGGTCGCCACGAGGAGGCGTCCAGGACATGAACCAATGGCACAACAGTAGGAACAGTGAGTCAACCATCTATCAGGATCTAGCCATCTCCAGCTTCAGCGCATTATAGTCTCTCCCGCATACCGGACCTTAGCATTACATAATAAACCCATATTATGCTATGAGAGGTCTTCACTGAGCTAAGTCGATATCTTGTTCGCTTGGATATATTAAGCAAAATAGCTTTTTACGAGTGTGTATATTCATTGGTTACGTTAGAATTGAAGAACAAGAGGCCAGTTGGAGCTGAAACCTTGTTAACCAAGTCATCGCTCATTTTTGGTGTTTCCAGTATGGTGTTTTATCGAGTATCAGTTGGCTCCTGTACTACCACACCCTGGAATATCTGAAGGTTTCGGCGATTTGTGTGGTAGTCAACTTACAACTCGTGAGATTCGTCCAGGCGTCTGGGTTTCATTGTCCAGCTCACATTTCTTTGTCGTATAGCCTCCCCCAACGGAACTCAACATCGCAGCCAGTGCCATATAAGCAGTGAAAACCTGAAGCATCCCACTTAGATGTGTAGTAGTCAAATTGCGGTAATCAAAGAGGAAGCAGTCTGTTCGCAATTGCCTCTAAAGTACTTGCTTCTGTCTTTCTTCCCAAACCAGTTGGCATTCGTAGAAACCAGCTTCGTGAACAACATGGCGCATTTCGTCGGAATCGAGGTAAACTTGACCCGATCTTCACTTTACGTCAGTTGATGGAACACCATGTTTACTGGCGACCCACCGTAGTCATGTTTCTTGACATCAAATGTGCCTTCGATTCGGTGGATCGACGTGCATTTGGGAATGTCCATTCAGCAAAGGTGTGTCAGCTAAATAGTTAACGACACAAGAGCGCTGCACACACATAGATCGGGCAGAGTGAGGAGTATGGTAAAATGTCGCCTCTCTTCATTATCTACAGCAGTGTGAAACAAGGTCGCCCGTTGTCACCTTTCCTTCTTTACCTCTGCCATTGACGAAGTCATGTAGACGATGTGGAACTGCTTCTAGGTGAGCGACGTACTGACTTGGAATACGCCGACGATATTGCCTTATTCTGCGACAACTCATGAACTTATCCAACAGCATTGGAGAAGTTAGCACTGGTTGTCAATCGTTTCGGACTCTGCTTTGTAACCTCGAAATGCAAAGTCCTTCCCCAAGGAAGGACCCAGGGGACCTATGTGGACCCTCCAGTGCGCTTACCCTTTGTAAAGATCAGCTAGGAGTTGTCCATAAATTCAAGTCTCTTGGCAGCTGTATTAGCCCCTGTAGAATAGAGGATGAGGTCACGAACCCTGTAACAAAATCTCTGGACGCTTTTGTTTATCTCCGGCACCTGTGGCGCTGCAGCGACATCACCCTCGTCCTGAAGGGTAGAGTTTGCAACGCAGCCATGCGTACAAACCTCCTGTGCAGTTGTGACACCTGATCCATCAGGTCAACAGACATATAGAGTCTAGCTGTGTTTAATCATCGCCGCGTTTACAGTGTGCATCTCCGTACTTAAAGTTCAGTTATTAGGGGACTTAGGAGGACAGTATTTTCAATTTCAGAATCGAATGAAATACACCACAGTTCAGGATCTATTTGACCATCGATGCTACAGTAATCTGCAAAGCTACGAAGAGGCCATTTAGCGTTGGCATGAATAACTGCTCGGCCACATCCACCAGGACCCAGTGCCTTTGGCCTCTGCTCATCGACGAACTTCACAGTGCAGACATGCCCCAATGCAAGACATACAAATGTGACGGTTACATGTAGGCCATTCATATAGCGTCAACGTCTAGCATCCGAGTAGACAATCCAGCATAACCATGAAAGCATTCAGAAATCACAGATTAGATGCGCCCAGTGAGGAATTACGTTTGGTTATTGGCGAAATAATCTAACGGTCACCTCATGTTTTTCTGAATTTAAATGTATTTCTGTTTGGGTTAGTAGCCGATGAAATCTATTCTACCGATTCAGATTTACCTAAATACTTTCTACTTTGTTTAGCTACCACATACATTGCAATCCATTCGCAACACTTGGCTCATCCTTTACAGTGGAGCGAAACTCCATTAGGGTTGGAAGTTCGTGTGCACGGACACTATGCGAAAGGGCGTAGACTACCGAACTGCCATTTGTGAATATGATTAGAGTGTGAACACGTATGCATCATGCCCTGACTACAATCGTGAGAGTCAAGTCAATTCATCCTGCCGCTCACCATAATTATGGATATACCCATTTAGAATAGGCCACTTATCTCACTAAAGCGCAATGGATTACAAAATGAACAACTTACTTGCCTATTTCGTTTTAGTCTGCGGAATGAAGATGAAACGCGACTGATTAAAACAAAAAAGGAACTGGAACTTAAGGCTACCCAACTTGAGGGTTAGTCATGCGTACAAAAATTTTATCGGTCTTAGACGAGAAAAAATTCCTAGAGACAGAAAGAAATGCAACCGAAGCCATCAAAGCGGACCTCATGAAACAACGGAAGAAGTATTCAGAACTGGAGGTGAGATTTGCTTGGAATTTTCAGACTAGTGCTTGCACGGAAAAGCAACATACTGCTACAATCACAACCAATTAATATCCTTATGCCATGAGTCAAAGATGGTCAGATTTCCTTATAGCTATGCTTGCGTGCTCCGCTATGCACTGTAACCAAAAAATAGTTGATTCCTATAGAATGGTGCCATCCCATCACTATATACGTGAGGTAGATTTTGCTGGTCTATCTCCTCTCTGCAATATCAGCTATCACAGTGTATAAGATTGCTTATGTTAAACCTTGTCATATCGAACTTCCAGCCTTAGACCTACAAAGAATGATAGGCGTGAAGCGTCTTCACACAACCGCTTTCTTCTCACTACTAGCAAGCGTCAACATACATGTTACTACTATACTAAGGGTCCTAACCAAGAAAACCTGAGTTTCCTTTTACATCAGCTGTGGATGCATTCGGGAAGCAGGTACTCTATTCGTCAAGAGGTGTGGTGATATTTGTCTGTAGGCCCCTCTGTTGGAAGTATACAATCAGTGAGACGAGAAGGATTTACTTGAAGAAGCAGAAAGTTAGATTGCTACAAACGAAAGGAGCAGATGACTGGACGTGCACGCGTCTTTCCGTCTCCGCTTATTGGTTACTATTTGACTGCGCTGGATTTGGTTTGTTTGATCTAAGCAAAGGAAGCAACTCATGAGTGCAGCAATGTCGTTAGTCATGTAGGTGATTTAGTCATATGTTTCCATATTGTTTTGTTGCGTAAACCATTTGTGCCTGAACGATCGAGTCCTGCGACAGCGCCCAATGTGGTGATCTCGCTTGACTTGAAGATTGCCAGCTGGTTACTGAACTGCACATACCTGTGCCACTGCTTATCTCCGTCAGACGTGTCAGAACATAGTTTCTGTCCAAAGTTTACGCATATTAACTGCACAAGCGACAGGCAGTTTCATGGGTAGTTCTCCGCTAAAAGCACACTGCATAAAAACTGCCTGTTGGAGCCACTTATTGTAGTTCCTGCTGCTTGGTGACCGATAGTCAAAATTAGAGTACACTGGCTATGTAAACCTTCATAAATTCGAAACAGGCCTCCATACATACACCACCTCGTAGGTCCTGGTACAGTACTGCCGGCTTCAGTTTTCGCACCGTTCCACCGATGGAATCAGTTAATGGGTTTGGTTATACCGGTACCTACATCATTGCCTGTGACATGACTGCATGCATCGATAGGACTCTGTAGACTTCGAAGCTTTACTCCCCGTTGAAGATGGCTCCTATGTTAACTCATCAGGAAAGCCTGTATTGCCACACTTCAGGTAGCATATGGATCCGATTCATGGATATTGCATGAAAAAAATGGCATAGACGGCCTAATCGTTTCAATTACAACGGCTCGCGTATCAGTGCCATCTTATCTGGTGGTAGCTAGGAATTCATTTCGCTGAGCTCCAACATCTGCAACGGAACCTCTGGTACTGCACTATGGTGCTTGCTTACATTAACTCTTCGGTTTAGGCTGGGTCATTTTTTTGCAACTCTACTGGCCGTCTTTCTTGGGGCCTGTAGTTATACATAACGGAAAGACAAAGTTCAAGGTTGATAAACGATGAACTAAGAAAATGGATCGTTGCACTGAAGATAAGGAACAAAGGTAGATCAGTGTTTGCTATTTTCGTAGACAGGGTTTGGGTGTTGACCACGAGTTACTAAAAAGATGGCTTTCGCCCAGTTGGCAAGACTATTACTTTCTGCATTCTTTTAAATCTGAGCTCCAACTCCCGACTCTTCTCGTAAAATTTGTTTTGGAGGTCGTTGCAACGTTTCGATGAATTTAGATGGGATTCATCCATCGTATCCAGATCTAATACCTTGTTCAGGATCTGATGGCTGTCTAGCTGAATCTGGCTGCAAGCAAATTTCCCGATATGCTCTACAATTACTTTTATTTCACTATACCAAACACCAATCGCCCTGACCTGTATCCAACGAAGCTAGAACTGAAGCTCAACCTCGCACTCTTCACATTGGCGTTCATAGCAGCAGATTATGTGCTTCACCACATCGCGGCCAGTAAACAATCATGACGGTTCTACCGTCACCCATGAGTTATGGGCTTAAGTCGCTGCTACACAGGCGAATGATCGTAACTTCTAATTCCATAGGATTCAGTGACGTTGCACGTTGTTGACTATCCCAAAAAATGATGGAGGAGCTGTTCAAACCTCTTGCAGGTATGCCTTAATTGTCTGATTGTAACCGGGTGCGCGAATTCGCTGTTCGAACGTTTGCTTCCTCATGGCAGTGACTTCAGCATGTTTTATCGCTATAGCACTAACGAAGACAATGAAGAAACAATGGACTGCATTTTACTGCTGTCCAACACGTTTACTTCATTGCTGGATTTTCTCAGGCTATTATAATTGCCGTATGCATCTAAGTTGATTTGTAACTTGGCAGCTGGCTGTGGTCTGGTCAATAGTTGGGACTGCACCGGAGGTTAAACAAAAATCTTAAAGCCAGAGAACTTGTCATACACTGCGTGCCTGCCGGTCATTTATCACCAATCATTTAAAGGCCTCAGTGATATGTGACAAGTTACGAACCAACAAATACCTGAAACTTGGACCTGATATTCGATGTTGTACTCGGCTGATGGAAGGCGTTGTAATTTACTAACCGTGAAATCGTTTTGCGAAACCGCTTGCGTTAAGGCAGTATGCGGAACGAGTTTCCAACGAGAGTAAACATTTGAAATCGACATCAGCCGTTTGCGGGTATCAGTTACCTGATGTGGCACTTTGACATTCAACGGAAACATGGTAATGGAGACGCAAGACAGGATTGGCACCATCCTCTTCTGAGCGAAATCGTCACTGTGGCTGCAAAAAACGCACCAGTTATGCGTACTGAGGCTTAAACTGTACTAATACCAATTCCACCCCCACAACCGTATCAAATGTGCACTCGTAGTAATAAGAATGGTAGCCAACAGCATTAGTGCGACCATTGCCTCAGAGCCGGCTCAAATCACCCTCAATATTCACAATACTGCTCTTTAACATGAGAAGCAAATCGCATCACGATGGTTGGGCTGTGGACATTTTGACAAAAGGACCACTTGCGAAACAACACTTCTGTGGAGCTAGGCTGCTCCATCATACTAAGTAAGCAGCTCCAGTTTCGCAAATTCCCTGGCGGCATCGGGATGGTCGACACTCGGTCAGTTTCGTATCCGTCGTGCTGCTAAACCTCGAGCACATCGTCATTCAAAACATCTTGAGCGACGCGACAAGCCCCATCGATCTTAGGACCGGCGCTCGCACAACGGCAATTACATCACCATGCTCATGATGGCGTTTGCTGTCCTGGCTTGGCAACCGTAAAAGAAGTGGAAGCACATCGCGTCCGAGACTCCACAGAGAGCGATCAGCCACTGTAGAGTTGTTCATCCAAATGACTAAAGTTGAGGGCCCAAAATTGCGCAGTGGCTAGAATCCGTGCTTACGGGACGTATTCCTAGTGACCCCCATGCCCTGAGCCCCGCCTGCTATGTGTGCGATGATCTTCCGTAACTTATTCTCAATGAGAACTGAGGGGTCATCAGCCAAATTTGACCACACTGTGTAGATAACTGGAATGTCGCAGTAAATTTTCTCCAGTTTGTGTATACCAGCGATAGAGCTTCCTTCTTAAATAAGTTTTCTCCGTCCCACATTATCTCCCCGCTAGTAAAACATCTTGCCGCTGTCACAACCCACCTGCATTAAGAAATGCAATGCATGTTTACCGAGAGACAATGCAGCGTGACAAATGGCGTGCTTACCAGCATGCCTGGCACAATAGAAGTAGGCTTTATTACGTATACCTTTCCCATGAATACTGACAATTCCATCAAAACACTACTTGATCCCCTCGTTTTCCCCTATTTCTCGTTAGTACCATACGTATTCCACAAGGATTTTTAAGCTCTTACCCTTTCGCTCCAAATAAGCTCTTATTCCATTCTAAGTAAATTACTGGTAATCTTGGCGTTCACTAGCGCTGAGGTGGTGAACAGTGATTGAATCGCTTATAAAAAGGTGCAAGTCGGGAGCTTACAAAATTCCGGAGCAAAATACACTACTGCACTCAAACTGTGCCTCAACCTTCATGGTCCAAAATGCATACGTCCCAGCCTATGGGTGAGATTGACCAGTAAAGCAAATAAAACTTCTGAGACTAGAACATGGATAATCTAAAAACCACGGCAGAACTAATCAGTGGATTACGCAACGATTACGCCTTACAGATAAGCTGAAACTCTGCTTTTCTTCAGCTGACGAACCGTACGCGCTCCAATACCTACCGTGACTTGAGTAAATCTTCATGTTTCGGCAACAGACATTTGTCAGAACTCGGCTTGACCCAAATCGATGGAGTTTCAGCACACAAATCGACCGCCGAACATATCCAAATACAAGCCGCAAACCTCTGAAACTTGAAATTCTATCTGGTTCAGCTGGTTAATCCGACAGGCGCGCGATTATTGTGACGAAAATTTCTCAAAGGAGACCAGCTTGCTGCCTGAAATAAGTGACTGTAGCAGATTGTATTCAAACTGTACATATTTTTCTCACACATAGAATGCTGAGCAACCTCCTGTATATTATGGCGTGTTTACTTTAAGTAATATTTTGTTTTCCGTAGTGTTTGATCATTAGTAAGACGGAGACAATTTCTTTTTCTTAGATAGTGGATTTTAATCAGCTTAAGGAACAAAACAATGCACGTTGCAGGGATTTGGAGGCTTTGCAAAGGTGAGGCAATTCTTCCTGTTCTATGATGTTTCTTCATCTACTAACAGGTGTTCCGGATACTTTTATCGTATGCGAAGGCTTGCCGGAACTTAGTCCAATCAGGTATCTTGTGCACAGCTGGAAAAGATGAACTGCTGGTTTGTTCAGTTGAAATACGTCAGAGGGTGGATTCCCCTCTAACCATACACGATAAAGTGCCAACCACCAGTCTCTTACGATACAGCGAGGTAATCCACTGAGCCATGAACAACGCGTTCTACCTATTCAGCGAAAGCAAAATGACCTCTGAGAAATTTCATCTGATCCTGTCAAAATGTCACTTATTCATTGGCTGCTCTTGCAATGGTGAAGAATGGCGGTTTCGGCCCAAGATTGTTTAGTACGGTGCCTGTGTTGAACATGAAGCAAGATGTGTTAACACGATTGCCATTTCTAGTTATGGTCCGCCTTCTGGTTGCATTATCAAGGCCTACTCGACCATTGTTATCTCCGCAGAACTTGGCTGCTTCATTTACATGATAATTTTTCCTGCGATAGGTCGATGACCCACAAAATCAATCCTGCAATCCGAAAACCTCACAACTAGAGGAACACACACAAGAAATCTGCCTATGATAACAAGTTTGTAACACATTGGTAGGGAGTGGAGATAATACACGTCGAGTGCTATAAGACTGTCCACCAACATCTTAGTGTTTGCAAAAAATGTATTCGTACGTTAATCCGGAATTTAATCAGTACTCTTCAATGCGGGCATCTAATGGCCCTGAAACTTCGACTAAAAGAAGCGAGGTTTTGAACTACTAGCAAGCTGGCAAAGTCCACTAGCAACTGCCATAGTTGAGGCATACCTGGCTGTTCATGAACGGGACCGTTACCAACTGAAGTCACCGTGTAGTTTCTTCTTAACAGCGTTTTTCTAACCAAGTATGTTTACCATGCGCATACACCGGTTTCGGATCGGTTGTGAATAGTTAGTACGTGAGCATATAAAGGTTGACAACGACAAACTTCGGCAGCTCTAGTAAGTCTGCCAGTAACTGCCAAATGTGCTGACTACATAAGTCATTTCACTGCAACGGTTCAGAGATCGACACGTTGACCTTGTGGCAACGATGTAAGCGTTTACATGCGACGGGTGAATTTTAACCGTTGTGTCGCAGATGATTAAAACAGGCTGATAAGTTGACGTTGTGGGTCACGATGACAGTTGTCCTAGTAGATATTACGCGAACCAGTAGTGTAGCAAGCCGAAATGGAACAACTGCGTATAACGGACAAAAAAACAAATGTTTATCAAGTTCCTCTGGATGGCCAGAATGAGAACCAAAATATGGATCAGATGAAAAGCATCTTGGTGGATCCACCTTAGTGTTCACGCAGAGGCATGCATAAAAAAGCCAACCTCGACTGTGTCGGCCATTGCTGGTTTCGCAATGTTCGTCACATTATATCGCTTGTCGATATGCACAAGGTAAACGTCGTAATGTAGATGAGTTTGGAAAACATCAAGTGGTTTTTTAAATGCAGAAAGTGTGGGAGGGGAAACAACATAATTTTGTACGGCATTCATGGCTGAGAGACACGAAGAGAGTTTCGGCGATATTCAAACCGACTTTAATGCGTGGACAACTTGAGCTGGTAACCCCTCAGATGCTTGTTTTCACTGAGCTGCAGTACGTAGCGGCAGACTTGGTTGAGCTCGTCAAAATGTGGTAAGTTATTATTAGGTCGACGCGTAGGCGCCGACACTGACCGTTGTACAGTCTCGGGATCTTTAGTCTAAGTTGATTTGGAACGTGAAACAATCATTTAACGTGCTGTATGGCACTTTGCTGTAGATTTTCAAGCCCTGTGAGATCTTACTTGTGCCAGGGCTGCCAGCTTTGGCCTGAACTAAGTGCCGCTGATCTGTGTATGTCCAAGACGAAGATGATGAACTTACCGTGAAAAGAGTTCTACCAATGCGTCTTTAACAGTTTCACAAATCCTAGCCGTTTGTTTTTGGTGTGGACAACAAATTTTCAATTTGATCCAGAAGATCACCCAACGAGCTTGATTTATGCACTAGGTCCCTTCTCTCCTGTCCTGCTATGCTTGTTCGTGTAATCAATCCGCTGGCTTTACAGCTGCATAGTGGTGAAGCGTCAGGTCAAAATGCTGATATGATTTTGTTGCGGTGATTGTTGCACTCATAGCTGTTAGAGTAGTAACAGTGGTAGTTTTCTTTGATGATGAACGCAGTGATAAGGATTATTCTATCTACTCTCCTTATGCTATCCTATTGGTTTCATGTTAGAGGGCTGCACTAACTGATCTTGCACTCACGATTTCCTTCCAATCTCTGGTATGTGGACCCTATGTATAGGTGCCCCATCTGTGGTGCTTTTGCTTCCGAATGCATACCAGAAAACCTGGTTTGACCAGCTTCCGTTAACTGATGTCACTTCCTTGGCATCTCTTTGTGTTAACTAATCGCTATTACGAAACCACCGTTTCTCTCATCCGAAAAGTGCTCATGACACGAAAGGCAGTTGTGATTGTGTGCTCTGAAGTGTCTATCCTACCGGAATATTCAGTTTGTTCCGTATACGACTTTTCAGTAGTTCACTGTAAGCTAGCAGTTATATAATAACACTGGCTTAAGTAGGAAAGGAGAATAAAATTCCCGAACCAAATCTACATGTTCTCAAGCTTTAAAGTGGAAAGAACTTCCACTGAATACCGTCCAGAAAGGTTACATGAGGATGGAAAACACGAATGTCCGCGTAAAGATTCATTGGGTGATAACGAACCATATCATTGACCAGCCAATCTCCTCGACATTTACATTGTTTATTGCTTTCTTTTGAGTTAGAACACTTTTACAACATAGATTTACGAAATACTTCATTGTACTAATCTCCACTTTGCTCGTGTTTGTAGTGTATTCGGTTATAGCGAAATTTGAGTATCCATCCTGGATACGCTACGAACTCGATGGATTGGGCATTCAGAAAATCCTGTCAGCCCGTTGAATTTTTATCAGCGATATTCGAATGACTCGTCCCATTAATCTTGGCGCATATGTTGAAAAAACACGGCTTTGTCTTGTACAAGCCGTCTAATTCTGACAGCCACGGTAGTGGCGGATGGTGATAAAACACATACGGCACTTGCATCGGTTTCAGTTCAGCAGTACCGTGAAATCTTTACATCTGCGATGTGCAGTAGCGCATCCAGTCCTGAAGGATCCCATTTACGCGTGTTATGATTTCTGAAGTTTAACCTCAACAGGGGCCTGAAAAGTTCGCGTCTAACTTTGCCAAAGCAGTATGGCCGCTTTGAGTTTTCCACAACTTTCTCGTTTACGGTATCTAATGGCTAAAGGAAGCTATTTCATACGTAACAGTAACTTGTAAAACTACTAGTTTTAGAGGTAATATTGGAACTTGCACTCACTTAAAATATTGTTACACAGATTTCAGATGGCGAACTGCCTCAACATGGATCCTTCTTCACGATGTCATCGTCATAGACCATTCCAAAAGCATTAAATTCGGTGAATAGTTGGTCACTTGTGTGTAGCCATTTAACCCTTTTACCCTCGAATATCAAATTTAAACAGTAAATTTTTCATTCACTTTAACAAAGCAAGCGAGTGAAGTGAAGGAATCGTGAAATAATCACTGTTACTTGACTGAGCAAATGTTCCGCTGTCATTCAGTAACTCTGTGCTTGGGATAATCTGTCATATGAAACCACGTGCTGAAACTTGACATAAATCTCCTCTTTTCCTTTCAGTCGTCTGTCGGAAGCCTTCAGGGAAATCGAAAAACATAAGCAAGGCGAGTTTACACTACGGTTCTTTTGCTACCCAATGGCAGTAGAGCACGTTTAGCACAATTAGGCCAAGAAAGATAATAGCCAGTTGACGGGAAAACATTTGGACTCATCCTCTGGGACCATTCCCTCGGAGGCTGAAGTTTCGGAGTCGTGGTGGGTGTCTAAATTGATGGTCTGGTATATTCCCGTTTAGACTGTGGCACATTACACAAGCTGAGTAAAGAGGACGGAAATGGCTCCTTCCGAAGAGGTGCATCCAAATGTTAGATGATAACTGCTCCTGGTAGATTGTGTTGTGTGGATATAATACGACTTACAACGGGGTTGTAGGTGAATGGTATCCAGTACCGAAACTGGCGTTATATTGTGCTTTTTTTGCTCCAGTTGGGCTAAATTGCTGCGACGGAACAATGAAAAAAAATGTATTACGGGTAAAAAGGCAGTTGCTTACCAAGGCCCGTAGGATGGCCAGAATGAGAAACACTGCATAGCGTGCGCGATCTCGGCAGTCTAACAACTAGACACAGAGCCAACAGAAAACCATGGAGATCAGAGGATAAGGGAGAATCATCGCGTCATAATCATCGTGGCATAGTAGTTGAAGGTGAGCAACACACTTCAGCTAACATGCCGCAGGAAGAGAGGAACATTTTGACAAAGATAGAACAAAACATTTTTAGTTTGTTTTTCACACGCCCATTTTTCGCTTCTTTGTCATTTTCAATCTTTGAAATATTAAACTTGTGAATCAGTACAATACTGTACACAACTCTTCCACTGATCCCGCTTGCGGGCCATGTCTTCAAGAGTGCTAAGCCATTGGCACTCCTCATCTTTGGGTCCCCATCCTGGAAGACGTACGGATCCAACAGCGGCTGAACTCGACATCAGCGATTTCATGTGCTACCGACATGTAGAAGGCAGACCACCACCCGGTCGCCTCCAGCCAGATCGTTGACGAGCGAATAGAGCGCGACGCGGTAGACGCTCTGGTGCCATGCGTAGGAAGTGACCAAGCCATCTCAACTGGCGCAGCAGAACCAGTTTGTAGAAGGGACTACTCGCACTCCCCAAGATTCGATGTTGAACGTCATTACTATTAACTCTATGTTGCCACCAAACACGAGCGATCCTTCTTAAGTAACCGTTATCGAAAGCAGAAAGACGACGCATATCTTCCACGCGAATCGGCCAGGACTCGCACCCATACAGCAATACTTTGCGAACTGATACACTAAACGCGGCCCTTTAGGGAGAATGAGACGTCACTACGGCGACGCAAGTGCCTCAGGGTGACAAATGTTGATCGAGCTTTAGAGATGCGAAGAGAAAATTCTTTGTTAAGAGTGCCGTCAACAGAAACACAGCTCCCAAGGTAGACGAAACCATCTATCCGTTCAAGTTGTGCACCTACGAGATTGAGCACGGGAGCAGGTGAAAGCCAATCCTAAAGCGGTACTTTACACCTTGATGGGGCGAAGCTCATGCCATACTTAGATGTTTCAACCGCCAAACGATTGAGAATGACGTGCATACCCTGAGGATCGTCACCAAATAATGCGATATCATCGGCACAATCTAAGTCGGTTGCGCGCTCACCCCGTGAAGAGAACACATAGTGTGATAACATGAGAAGCGTCTTGGTGGACTCACCATAGTGTGCACATAGAGACAAGCATAACAGAGGCAAGCTTCATTGTCGGTTAATGCTGGTTGTGTAGCTATCGTCGCATTATGTCGTCTGTCGATGTGCACATGCCATATCCCGTGGGTTGATTAGGGAAAAGTTAAGGCGTTTTTTTGGACCCAGATAAATTGGGGGCCGAAACAAGGTAATTTGAACCGGCGTTCCATGGCTGACAGACACGAAGACAGTAGGTGATTCGGTGATATTCTAGCCGACTGCATTGCTGGTGGCCCCTCAAATTCGTGTTGTGACTGTTGCAATAGGTAGCAGAAGACGTGCTTGGGGCTCCTCGTAATCTGGTAGGCCAACATTACTTCGCTACTTAGGCACCTATACTAACCACTGTACAACCTTAGAGCTCCCAGCTTTAGTCGATATAGAAGGTGAAATAACCCTTCGACGTGCTTGATGGCTCTGCGCTGGTTATCTACCACATGGATTTACCGTTCGACTTAACCCATGTTACTACCATCTACTTTTTCAGTCTTATCACTTCGACTGCGTTCTTACTTAAGCACTATCAACGATGTACTCAGGTCCGGTTTAATATTTGTTTGCACGTAACACACCACCATATCATTACTGTGACTCGGACCTGGGACGCTCGGGATACCGGCCGAAATCTGTGCCCTTAAACAACCGAGTCGCCGTGGAAAACACTTGTTCCGACGATTAATGACTGATCAGAGGGGACCTTTCGAAGCACTGTTGTTTTAGGCGGATTGTGACAAGCAATCACAATTTAGCCATCGCAATGTGGCTGGACATTACCGTGGTGCGATGGTTTGTGTGCCTCAGAAATCTATTGAGCTATGCTGGATGGTGCATTTCGCACCTCCAGATCCACTCACACCAGATTCGTCAATGGTTAAAGGCCAGACAAACTCAGGCCCCTGGTCCACCAGGTTGGAGGTTGAAATGAGAATGGCTCCGCATTCCATTAATATGGACTCCTTGTAGCCCACCGCCAAACCCACGGCCTTGTGGTAAGGTTTGTGAATCAAAGGCTTTGGTTGAGAACCTTAATCGTTCTCCTGTCTAGGCCTGGGCAACCTGACAGAATTATGCCCACGCAAACCTATGAATCTTTTCTCAAACAATTACCTGATGCTCTGGCCACCGCACAGGATAATCAACGGTGCCCTATCTGCTGCATCGACCTGGATGGATGGGGGGTTGGACGTTACTGCTCAAGTATTCCCATATTCATATTCCCCCTCTTTAGCTTTTTTGCCCTTATCGTACCGTACCAGCATTAATTTTATCCCCCAGTTTTTAACCCCCGATTCTTGGACCTCCCCACCGCGCTTTGATAGGCGTTTAGCTTCTAGTTTCAACTTACATGCAAACGCTGAGCGTCATTCGTGCCCTGTCAACAGGCCCGTGTCCAAGCAATCGGTCAAGCCCAGTTCCTCGGCTTCCATTTGGAGCCATCGATCCTCCATCTGCTTGGCATATCTCAATGTAGGTACATTGCTACAGATCGGTCAATAGGCAGCACGCCAGAATATTAAAGACCCTCTCGATTGATATCTGCTGCTTATCGGAGACTCGCTTGCAAGCCTAGAGCTCAGTGCTCACTTTGTGATCCACTTCAGCTGACAACAGCAGCACTTTCTCATCGCGCCTATCGAGTGACGATGCATCTTCGAGCACCGGCCAAGCCGGTGCTGGAATTGCCCTGAGCCCCCGGGCAAAAGCTGCTCTGGTTGATTGAATCCCGATCAGTAGCCGGGTGTGTGCGGTCCGGTTGGCTGGCTCGTTCAAAGTTTTGAAGTCTCGCGGGACTAATAGGTGTCTATTCGTCATCGCTGCCTATGCACCGACAAACTCTAGCGATGATTCGATAAAAGACGACTTCTATCGCCAACCGACTGTGCTCCTTCGTCACCAAAGAAGCACGGGTACTGTAGTGCTGGCTGGGGATTTGAAGCTTGAAGTTGGAAAATTATCCACAGATGAGCTGCATCTGGGTGGCCAGCACGGTGTAGGCTCCCGTAATGATAACGGTGAGCGGTTACTTCATTTGTGTGCTAATGCTCGCTTATTTCTTGCGAGCACTAATTTCCGGCACAACACCCGGCATCGTGTGATTTGGCGTCCACCAGCCTGGAACCAGCTACTAACGCAATTCGACCACATTGCGATAAGTTACCGATGGAGAGGCTGTGTCCAGAACTGTCGCTCGATTTGGTGCACATGTGTGGACACCGATCATGCACTTGTATGTGCTGACCTGCGGATGCGTTTTGGCGGACGCCTATGACGACGTTGTTACCGCATTGACGCCAGCCAACTGACAAAGCCAGTTGTTCTGAATGCCTATCAAAATATGCTGACATGCGAGTTGAGTAAGCACTTACTGGATACATTTGAAACTCACTGGTCTATGTTCACCAGACATTACTAGAAGTTTGCAAATCCTCATGTGGTAAGTCTAATCGCCAACATGAACATTGGGTCTCTTCGCAGTCTCTGGAACTTATTGATGCTGGCCGGCACATTCCGGCTGGAAGCGAATACAATGAAACTCGCAGAAACCACTGGGCAAAACTCCGTGCTAACCTGAAGAGAGGCCGCGAATCTTGGTGGTCTCATCGTGCATCAGAAATAGAAATGGCCGCTACCCTTGGTAACCAACGAAAGTTATTCCATCTGATACGGCAAACGGGCAGCAAGAGACCTGGTGTTAGTGAAACTATACATGAGGAGAGTGGACAGCCTCTCAACAACTTGTCAAAACGAGTGGGGCGTTGGGATGAGCAATTTGAAAGACTATTTAATCGGTCGGAATTGTCAGGTTTCTCGCCGGCCAGTGATCGCCCTGCTCCGTGGGCTGTCCCTTTTGGATCCGCCCTCTCGCTCAGAAGTCCAGCACGAGATCGGACGACTGAAATTAAATAAAGCAGTATGACTAGATCATCTACCTCCAGCCCTATTCAAATTCAGGTGGTCTGCTCTTATGGATGATTTACACGAGTTACTAGTGAAACTGTGGGAGAAGAAAACTGTCCCAACCGACTGGAGCCGCTCCGTCATGGTCCCAATTTGCAAAGGAGGCTCATGATCCGAATTCGACAACCATGAAGTAATCAGTCTGATCTCCATCGCCTCCAAATTGCTTACCTCTGTCATCCTTCACAGACTGACTGGCACTCGTGGAAGCCAGATTCATGAAGGGGGAGCCGGGTTTCGTCGAGGTCTTGGCTGCATTGACCACTTGTTCAGTTTGCGTGAACTGTTGGAGCACCGTCACATATATTGGCGACCGCCATAGTCGTGTTCCTCGACATTAAAGGTGCACTTGATTCCTTT